TTTGTTGTTTTATTTTACGTTGTGAATAAATGTTGGTAGTTATTAAAATTGTTATAAAAATATATAATTCTAATAAAAATAGATAAGTTATAATAAGTATTTATTAACACAAACATCCGATACGCTACTGAAGCAGGTAAGTCAAATTAACGTATCTAAATTCTTTGACATCTAATCTTTGACAAGTAATAAATAAAAGCTAAAATGCAAGAAAAATATATAATTTAGTAAATTTAAGTGAATTTCATAAATGATCGGTTTACTACACTTATGTATATTATATAGTCACTTACTAGCGAAAAGTTGTTCCATTATTTCACTCTATTTTTGCCGAGATCTACCGCACGCTACACAACCAACTATTTTAGAGTCTTTTTCGATAAATCGCGATAGTGTCACTGTTAATTTAAGTTCTGCCACAATTTCCATCTAGATTTACTACCTTTATACAACTATCAGTAGTAGAATAAATAATAAATAACATAAAATAAGCTCCGTAAAGACTGACAAATATTCGTCAATTATTCAATTTCAAATCAAATTCAAATGTGTCAAATGAATCGTCAAACAGAACTGTCAAGGATCCCCACCCTAGAGTGCTTTTATGGTGCTTTTTCCGCCCACCATGCATGAATACAGTACGTCTGTCCGTTCTATAGCTACGGGATATCCGTGAGAGGGGAAACGATATACTCTCGATGTTTTTCGTAAAAAATTAGATGACGCGTCCCATCAATAAAAATTCGACAAATTTGCAAGTAGCCAATAAAATGAGTGGGCGGAGCGATTTGCGGTGACGTACTCGTCAAGTCGACGTATCAAATATATTGTTGTTTATTTAATTGTTTTTTGTCCGCATTCCTTTCATAGACACAGATCCAGCAGACGTACTGTACATGGATAGCATTATGCTCCTTCCTTAGTCTTCTTATTCAAAGGTTTAAGGTTATTCGTGGGTTATTAAACTCGCACAAAACAGAAAACAACAAAAAACAATGCAAATAATGCCAAATAAACCTGTAAAAAAGAACTTTTATTATTCAAAATGAAATATCATATAATTCAGTTGGTATACGAATATTTTTTGATTTATTTATAATGTTTTGTGTCAAAAATATGTGAGAAATGAGGTAAACAGTTTAAATATCTTAATAAATTCGTTTTTAATTTATTAACCTTTCAGGTATCTACCTAATGGTAGGAAGAAATTATTTATGTAATGGTAGGAAAAATAATTTCACTTTAATTACGTATTAGAAAATCAGTAATCTTAAATTAGGATGCATCGATGGAGAAGAAGGCAATTGTAATCACAATACAATAATAGATCTACAAATACCAAGCAATACATTAAATCAAAAATCTCAGTAACAGTGTTGTAATTATGTACTCCCTGTAGTCTTATTATGTATAAAGTTTTGTTTTACATGAAAATAATTATCCCATTTAATTATGCATTAAATTTTAGTGTCAGCTTATTGATAGCTCGATTACCAGTCAAATAGTTTCGATGTTTTCTATACTATGAAGAAAATTTGATCTGATTAGATTAATTCAGATGTAAATTTATGTTATACGGTAAGATATTTTTAAACAAACCAAGAAAGTTCTCTTCAGACAAGTTCTGGTCTGAAATTGCAAATATTAATGAAAAAGTTATACATGTAGTTTTCTATTCATAAATGATATTATTGATTTTATTCTAGGTGAATGTATCGAGTCATATATTATGCAGAATATATTGAGAAAAATGGTAAACTAACTAAAAGTGCTAACAAAATTTCTTAGGAAGTTATCTATATAGCTAATTATTAGAAGCTGTAACAAATGTTCAAAGAGTCAGAGTATACTTTATTAGAAGTGTGTTAGATAGAATTATACACTTTAAAGAAAATATATTTTATTATTGGAGATAATGCATATTGTGTAATGCATATAATATGTGAAATCTATTATTACACACAAAGATTGAAAATTATTTAAAAAGCTACCTGTATGTTGTCTCACAATCTCATTCAGTGAATGGGTTATTAAAAATTGAACATATCTATACAGAATATTGTGGATATGGATATCTGGAAAGCATGTTATAACCATTTTTATTTTTAGGATTTATGAAACGATTATATAAATATACTAACAACAAATTGCAATGCATCTGTATATTAGAGACAAAGATGAAAGAGAGTAACAAGAATATATGTATTCAAAAGAAAAGTATCAAGACCATTTGTAGTAATTAAAATTAAAGAATAAAATACATAAAATGTACCGTATGATCGAAAAAAAACGGCGTCCAGTTGGCTGGGAAATGACGATCAATGACATTTCCCATATAAATTTACATATAAAATGACAGCGACCTTCATTTCATAGCCATCGTTGACGCCGTTTTTTCTCGATCATACGGTAGTTTACGTGTGAACAAATTCTCGTTTCATATAAAAATTGGAGCTCTCTATCTAGAGTATATTTAAATATAAATGTTTTTATGTATTGGAAGGGGGACTGTAGTTTTAAAATATAATAAAGAAAATAGACTAAAAAACGTGTGTAAGTTCTTTTTAAACTATTCTGTAAGTTACGTAAATGTGTTTCAAATAGGTTGCTTTTCACAATAAAGTCAATACACCGTAGTTATGCTTTACTTTTTCAAAACACACTCTTGTTTTTTATTATCAACTCTCTGATTAATATTAGAAAATTTAGTTACATGAATATAATAGGAGCAGATAGTATGTTTCAAGTTTCAAATAATTAGAATATGATATGAGTACAAATAGCTTAAATATGATTGCTAATAAAATACTTAGTTTATACACATTTAGATATATCTCTTTAAATATAAATTAGTATTGCCACCATGCGATTAATGGGAAATACAATATGATCGTGAAAAAAAAAACGGCGTCAGCGATGTCTAAGAAATAAAGATCGCTGTCAATTTATGTGTAAAATTTTATGGAGAATGTCACCGATCGTTATTTTCAAGCCATTCTGGACGCCGTTTTTTTCGACCATACGGTATTTCTAGGTATGTAATTATGTCTCTAATATGTACTTAGGTAATTTTTTCCATTTGCCTATTGTTAATTATAACGTCGTCAAACTATAAAATTTGCTATATTTTTTACTTAAATTTTTTTAGTAATATCAGAACATGTTTTGAATAGTTTAATTAGTAATAAAGCTACTAACATGTTCAGTTATTTTATTTTTCTATAAAAGCTTTTTGATAAAAAAATAAGTATACTTGCTAAGACGTTAAATTGCCTGAGAAATTACGATCGATGCCATTTACCATCCAATTTTACACAATAAAATGCCATCGATTGTAATTTCAAAAGCTGAAAACTTGCCGCCGTTTTTTCCAATGAAATGGGCGGTGGGGAGAAAATTACAGATTCCTGTATTATATTAACGACTAACGACATTATTAATCGCATGTACACAAAGCATTGACACTATTAGAAATCGATCTAATTTCTAATAGTATCGAGCTTTTAAAATTCGAGAAAGTGATCGGAGATTGTGTTTACAGTGTTGTGAAATGTTCGTTAGTGCATATTTTTGTGTCAGTAATCGGTATCGGTATAGACAAATCGCGATGGAGTATACAATTCCGAGAGAGGTGGATATGCTAAGAAGAGCATACTTCCTGGCAGGGGAAAGCGCTGTAGAATCTCGGAGGCTTTATTCCGAAGAGTATCCGAATAGACAAATTCCTAATGCTCGAACCTTTGTAAGTATGGTTCAGCATTTGAGGGATTCGGGAAAAGCAACGAAGAATTGCTGTAAAACATTAAAAATTCCATGCTCAGAAGAAGGAGAGCATGTATTGGAAATGGAGGTCGTCATTTTGAACAATTATTATAATAGTATGCAGTCAAGAAGCGAAGGGTATACCGGGTGGCGCATCATCGTTGGAAATATAGGATATCCCATGCAAATTTTGAACTGTCCAGATATTGGATCCCCTTATTCAAATTTGTAATGTATCTTTAAAAACTTTTTACGATTTAGCTCTAAAATTAATAGGGGAGCCAATATTTCCACAGTTGAAAATTTGCATAGTGTTGTTAAGAATTGTAGTGTTATGTGCAGTTTTAAGAGTGGTAAAATGGAAAAAACAGAAAGCTTTGCAGTTGTATCTCTCTGCTATAGGGATATCTTTTTTTATTGTTTGGTAAGTTTTTTTTCTTTTAGTTTATTTTGTGGAATGTGGAAAGTAGTACTGGCGATCAGCCACTTAAAAAAAAGTAACACACCGCTGCAGAACCTCTTGGGTGGTGTGGAATTTTGCAAGTACTTTTTAAGTCTTTCTAGTCGATGTGGCAACAGCGGGCGGCGAACAAGCCGAGATCTGCGAGATCCCCCGGCGGCTCTCTAAATGTCGCAATTTTTTTTCAAACTTTCAAAGTTAAATAACTTGGTTATTTTCAATTTATTTTAAAAATGGTAAAGAGAAAATATGTTTCTTTTGACCAGATCTACCACCCCTTAAAATATCTGCACTTATTTCTGGGACACCCTGTATATGTAAAAAGATTAATAAATAATTATATTAATAATTGAAATGCTTTGTAATCAATCCATTTAAATACAGAAGAATATGATGGATACAACTAATTATATACAATGTAGCTATCCTAAAAATATTTATATTATAAAAAATGTGTAAATAAGATATACGCATAACATAGGAAAATAAAACCCTAAGTCATCACAATACACCCAAAACTTTTACACTGGACGCGCGTTTCGCTTACCATGTTAGAATCATCAGTAGATGATTAAAACTGATTTAATTTCAATCATCTGCTGATGATGCTAACATGGTTAGCGAAACGCGCGTCCAGTGTAAAAGTAAAAGTTTTTTGGTGTAATGTGGTAATTTAGTGTTTTTTTTTGATGTTTTAACACCAATGGTTCCAACTCCCAACTGTAACATAGCGGCGTAAAATAAAAATTATAGCTACTTTTATGAAAGATCTAACTACAATATAGCAGACTCTACTCTACCTGTACCTAGGACCGCTGCCTTAAGCACGTCACTTATTTCAGAATCCAAAACATTTTCATCTTCAGGAGTGGAAGGTAGTGGACAACCAATGCAGTCCTCTTCTACCTAGAGAACGAGATTATTAATTATTATTACTTATTATACAGTGTGTCCAGATAAAGTCTGCATCATATGGAATTTTATTTTATCTATAGATTTAGGTCAAATTTGACTTTGTTGTTAGTTTTTGCCAATGACTAAAGAATCCAAGGACAAATAACATCCGAGAGCAAATTGTGCCGATGTCACCAAACAGTGCCGTGGCACATATTTTTCTTAACCTAGCTGTTTGAAGCAATATTTATATTTTTTGATAATTGTTTTGACTACGCCTATGGTGTATCATACTAATTAATTACGAAAAAAACGTATTAAAATGTTAACAAAAGGTACAAAACTAGTATCGACGTATAGCACATATCAAGTACATAGGTACCAGGTGTTGCATCGCCGAGCGGGACATAGGAAATCCCATGTAAATTTTAATGGGGTCAATTATTGGCTCCCTAATTATTTTAAAGAATAATTCTATTTAGGTTTATTGAAGAGCACTAAAACCCACATTCAAAAAAATAACTTTAGATATTTTTGATTAGTCCGTTTACGAGTTATCGCCGACTTCTTTTTAAATATTTCTCCTTTCTTATGACCCTGTATTTACTTATTAGCACCAGTCAAGGTAAAAAATAACTGTCAAATGAAGTTGTCATTTCAGAAATTTATCTATTTAGTGCTTTATTATTATTATTAAAAACTCATACCTACATCAAAAATATTAGCGCCATGAATTACACTACCGAAGAAAAAGTATTGATGATTAAATGGTATTATCAAGGAATTAGTTATCAAAGGTGTCGGACATGTTTGCTACTCTGTATCCGAATAGACCGATACCTGGAAAATCTACAATCGCAAGGAATATCCAGAGATTTGAGACCAAAGGTACCCTAATAAATAACTGCAGATGTGAAGCAAGGCAGGAACAAAGAGAAGATACAAGAAATGATACCGACTTGGAAGTTTTATTGTGCGTGGAGGAGAACGATGGAAAGATCAGCACAAGGAAACTTGAGGATGAAATAGGAATAGATCACACTACAGCGTTTCGAATTTTGAAACGACATAAATACTATTCCTTCAAGTATGAAAAGCACCAAGAGCTACGAGATGGGGATGAAATACGGCGGCAGGCGTTTTGTTTTGATATGATGGAAAGAGCAAACACGGATAGGGAATTTTTAAAAACATGTTTCACTGACGAATGCACGTTTACCTTAAATAATGAACCCAATGTTCAAAATTATCGATATTAGAACAAAGAAAACCAACACAGGTTTGTCGAAACAAGGACGCAATATCCACAGAAAGTAAATGTTTGGGCATGGATATTCGGACACAATATTATCGGGCCATTATTTCTTACGCGAAATTTAAATGCAGAATATTATTTGGAACTACTCGAAAATCATATTTTACCTTCTTTACATGATGCCGCTAGGGAAAATCAGGAAGTTTGGTACCAAATGGATGGCTGCCCGGCACATAGTACCCTGGCTATTCGGGAATATTTAGATAATAGTTTTAACGGAAACGTTATTGGCCTAAATCATAGAGTAAATTGGCCAGCAAAATCTCCTGATATTTCGCCAAATGATTTCTTTCTCTGGGGCCATTTAAAAAACAGGATATACAAGGATAAAAAATACCCAAATCTAGACGAGTTAAAAAATACTATTTCTGCCGAATACAATAGAATTTCAGTTTACCAACAAGCGAATGTAAGAAGAGAATTTTATGATCGCCTGGGTTATTATCTAGCAGTCGATGGAGGAATATTTGAACATCTTAAACCCTAAAGTTGTAACAATTTAATAGTACCTAAATTAATAAGTTATTGAATATTGTAATAATACTATAATTAACCTTGTAATTGATTACCTTTAATTCATATTAATTTGTATTTATAAATACATCTTTAAGATTTCCGATGAAGGAATGAGTTTTCAATAATAATAAAGCACTAAATAGGTAAATTTCTGAAATGACAACTTCATTTGACAGTTATCTTTTACCTTGACTGGTGCTCATAAGCATATACAGGGCCATAAGAAAGAAGAAATATTTAAAAAGAAATCGGCGATAACTCGTAAAAAAACTCGGCGTAAACGAGCTAATCAAAAATATCTAAAGTTATTCTTTTGAATGTGGGTTTTAGTGCTCTTCAATAAACCTAAATAGAATTATTCTCTAAAATAATTAGGGAAGCCAATAATTGACCCCATTAAAATTTACATGGGATTTCCTATGTCCCGTCCGACGATGCAACACCCGGTATAGATGTTAATTGAAATTGAAGAATAATTATCGAATTCAATAAGAAAATGAAACGTAACTCCTGGCTCTTTCTTATCGCTGCTGCTTTTACACTTGAAAGCTTGAACAACTAATCTCCATTGTAATAAAGTTTATATAAAGTTCACTACGCATAAACTATTAAAAATCGCTAAAATTGTCGCTGGTGACCAAATGATGACTCATTGTTTGCCATTAAAAGAATGGCCTCTAAGGTCACAAATTCTGCTGCAGCCCGTATATGGGCGTTACATGTCCTTATATTCTTTAGTCATTGGTTTTTGCTTTAAAATAGATTAAAAATGACATAATAGAATTTACACTGTTGCTAAAGCGTTGCTGGCCAAAAATTAATGGCTAAAAACGATTTTATTGGCCGAATTGAAAAAATTATTTCAAAAGGTTGTTTCTTTTTTAGTTTTACATAAGCACATTAATTTTCAACTATTTAGAGGAAAAATAAAATTTAATAGTTTTTAACCAATAGGAGCCGTCTTGTGGTAGAAGGAAAATTAATTGATGGTACTCCATTTGTTAGTCAAATATTTATCGAGTGGTTGTATATTCAGTTAAATTTATTGAATCAATTAATAGTTTTTAAAGAAAAATAAATTTAGCTGTAAAAAATTAGACCAAAGTGATGCAAAGCATGAATAACTTCCCCATTTATTGAGATAGCATCGTGAAATTTATATCTGTACATGCTTGAAACTTATTTGTACAATACTTAAATTGATAAAATACTATTGTTTTGTTTGTGTAAATAAAAGTATTATAAAAAAATTGTTTAACTAACTTACTATACAGGGTGCTACAAACTCGAGGTACGAGCATTGGTATCTTGGAAACCGTAATAGATACAAAGATGGTTAAATTGGAGCAAAGTTGCGCCTTGGGATATTCACCAAAATGCTATCAAAGAAGTTTTTAAAACTTCAAGAATTGCTGAGTTTTTTGGAAAAAACGAATTTTTTTGAAAATCAATTTTATTTTTTCCTGTCGTTACTTTTTAGAAAATCAAAAAACTAATTGCATATTCTCATAGCCAGTTTATTAGGGCTATCTGACAGTATTTTTAGATTTTCAAATTAGCTGATAATTTGTGAGATAACGAAGCCGACTTCATTTTTTTAAATACGGACCTGCATTTTTTATATCAGCTTTTGAAAGAACTCGGTCTCCTGAGTACAACGATATGCCACACTTTATATTTTGTTTTGTTTTGGGTACCTTAACAACAACAAAACTTTAATTATTATTTAAAATATTTTCAAGTCCGACCCTGGTTTAAAATATTTAATCTGATTATATTCATTGCAACAGTATTGATCAGCGCTAATTAACATTGAATTAGGAATCGAGCCAATTGAAAGATTCAAATAAATAATATTCAGCTCAGCAATTTAAAAATATTATTTTTAACTTTTTTTTATTGTGAATTTGAAATTCTCAGTGTACGATCTAAAAATATGCATAATGTTAATCGTAGTTATTATAAATCACCTTCTACAAACTAGTTTCTAATGCTCTACATGTTCGAAAGGGTTATCACCTTGCCTATTGCACAAATTTATTATTCTTTCAATTTTATTTATACCTCTTTGAACATATCTCCTTCTTATACTTCAGAATGCATTTTGTACTCTTTATTGTAAATGTTGAAAAATATTGATTTCACTTTTACAAATGACCTCAAGTAATGCAATTATTTTTTTTATTGAATTTGATTTTTCGCATTCAATGTTTTACCCCACGTTATAGTTAAATTTGAAGGCTTATCAATATTGTAACGATGAATAATTTAAATATTTAAAAAACAGAGCAGGACTTGAAATTAGATTAAATAAGTTTTGTGTTTTAATGTCCTAAACAAAAAAAAAGTATAAAGTGTGGCATATCATTGTACTCAGAAAACCGAGTTCTTTCAAAATCTGAAATAAAAAATGCAGGTCCTTATTTAAAAAAATTAAGTCAGCCTCTGTATCTCACAAATTATCAGCTAATTTAAAAATCTAAAATACTATCAGATACCTCTAATAAAGTGGCTATGAGAATGTGCAATTAGTTTTTTGATTTTCTAAAAACTAACGACAGGAAAAAATAAAACTGATTTTCAAAAAAATCCGTTTTTTTTTCCAGAAAACTAAGTAATCCTTGAAATTTTTAAAACTTTTTTGATGGCATTTTGGTGAACATCCCAAGGCGCAACTTTGCCCCAATTTAACCATCTTCGTATCTATTACGGTATTCTTCGTATCTATTATCACAACCAATTAAGGTTGATTCTCACTATACCTTCCGTTTCTATTCCACATCCATTCCATATCCGTTCCGTATTTTTTATTGTATTGACACTATACATAAGCTTCCGTTCCGTATCAGTTCCATACTTTTTATTTCCATACTTTTTATTGTACAATTTATATCATTACCAAAGTTTTATTTTAAAAATTCGTATCTTTTAAAAAAGGTAATAGATTTAATTAAGAAGTGAAAGAATAAATAAATATCAGCAAAATGTTAACATAGCTGGCACAAATATAAGAACTTGACAACACTGTGTCCGATACGCTTCAATTCGTCCGCCAAAAAAATGTATGAAAGGAAAGGATATGGAACGGAAGGGAAAAGGATCGGATAGTGTGCATTGTCCTATTCATTTACATGATATAATATTTTATGTAAACGGAAGAGAGCTGATATGGAAGGTATAG